TATCTTAGAATTTTCCCCTCCTCTTTAACAACAACTAGGGAAACCTTACTTTAGTTCCTTCAATTATTGTGCTGTTTCAGTATCTCATGAAAATGCCACCATTTTTATCTGTTGGCTTTTACAATGTTGGAACATGTTTCATTTTCTTCTCTTTTGATATCTGGTTAATTACAGGCATTATTACTATATTGATATTATTCATTTCTTCTTGTGATGTGTATGCATCCTTAAACAAATTTAAAGAAGAAATAGAAGTATTTGTTATGCAACAACGATACATCTAATTGCTTCCTACACTCTTATTCGCAAGATGAGATGGAACGGGTATAAAGATGAGACAGTATAAAGTATCAAAGTATAATAAAGAAGACTTGTGGAAGGCAGTTTATAAATTGTAAACACATCAATTTTTTTCCAATCTAGCCAATTAGGGATGCAAAGATCTATATAATCACTAATTGACAGCAGATAAAAAACATCTAAAAATGTTTGGATTTTTACAACTACATCTGGCAAATTGGATGACCTGAACTTCTGGTTTGGTCTACTCTCTTAAAAATTCCTCTGAATGAGTTAAGGGAAAAATAAATAAATAAAGGACTTGATTTTTATCTGCCTGTTTTTTATTTTGCCTTCCTCTATCCATATGCTTTAGGGGCTTGAGAGAGAAGCAGAAACCCAGAAGGCTATAGATGTGCTTTGCAAGGTTTTGTTAGAGCTCTGTGTCTCCTTTGCAATTCTAAATACAGTTACCTAAAGCTTTAGTGTACTGAGAGAAGCAGTATCACCTAATCTCTTAGGCATCTATTTATTTATTTATTGTTTTCAGACTCACTCCTAGAATATTTCATCCAATTCTGGGCAACATGTTTTTGAAAGAAATTGGCAAGATGGAGCATGTCAAGAGCATAGTAATCAAGATGATAAGGTCACTGGAAGGAAAAAAAGTGTCTGAGGAGTGGTTGGAGGCATTTGAAGAAGAGACAATAGCAGGAAGACCCAATAATTGTCTACAAATAAGACAGGAATATCTTGGAAACTCTTCACAGTTGTTCCAGAATTGTTCCTAGGACAAGAACCACTGGATTTAAATTACAAGGAAAGGGATTCTGAGTGTCCACCAGAAGAAATGTCCTAATGTTAAATGGTAAAGATTCCCCTCGCACATATGTGCTAGTTGTTTCTGACTCTAGGGGGTGGTGCTCATCTCCGTTTCAAAGCCGAGGAGCCAGTGCTGTCCGAAGACATCTCCGTGGTCATGTGGCTGGCATGACTAAATGCCAAAGGCTCACAGAACACTGTTACCTTCCCACCAAAGGTGGTCCCTATTTTTCTGCTTGCATTTTTTACATGTTTTTGAACTGCTAGGTTGGCAGAAGCTGGGACAAGTAACGTGAGCTCACCCCCTTACGCGGCACTAAGGATTCGAACTGCTGAACTGCAAACCTTTCAATCAACAAGCTCAACATCTTAGCCACTGAGCCACCATGTCTCATGTCCTAACGTTAGGAGCTATTCTTTAATACACAGAATGCTGTAAAACGAGTAGGTTCTCCTTTGCTTGAGGTAGTTAAAACAAAAGTTGGATGACCATTTGTCCTAGTTATTATTGACTTGAATTTCTGCCTGGGCAAGAGGTTGGATGAGTTATTTCCAAAATCTCTTCTCTTGGCATTCTCTGATTCTCTGTTTTATTAACAAGGAGGTTTTTTTAATAATTATTTTAAATGGTCAGAGCCAAAGATTTCTGCTTTTTGTAAATAAGCCAATTTGTGTTGAGTGAAGTTTATTCTGTATTTATGTTGAATGGTATTTCAACATTCAGCGTCTCAAATAATAAAGAGAATCTCTCTTTTTACTGTCTCCCCTCCCTGCCATGAAATATTTTATAAATGCATGACCGAGCATGATGTTTTAAACAGCTCTATAAAATGTTTAGAAATCCTTGGAGAATAAAGGCAGCCTAGATATGGGTTGAGCCTTCTCAGTTTAAAATGGGCACTTAGGCTGAAATTCAATCTAAAACGCTAAAGGTACATTTTAGGACAGTCTTATCTCTTAAGATCCATGGATGCATGTGGTTGTGTAAAGGCTTCTCTAGCTGAGAAAAAAAATAATGGCCAAAATCTATTAGCACTGAAAAGGCCCTGATTTGAGAAGTGTCAGCAACACAATTCCACTTGTCTTCATGATTGATGTAGGTGTTGCTGAGAGGGAGATTAGTTGTAAAGTAGTGGGATTGTTTGCACAAATTTGCTTTCTTCACCTTCTCCTTTCTAAGGGTAGAGAGGATCGAACAGACGGGGAAAAAAGAAAAACAGGGGATGTCCAAGGCCATTAATCCATCAAGCACAGGGATTTAACCTCAGCTTTTTATCCCAGATCAGATTATTTGACCAACTCGTCTGGGTGGGGTGGGCAAATGGGATCCCAGCCCTTTCTTTTCCTGATGTTCTTCTTTTGAAATTTGCTACAGAGATTATTGCTAATCCATAACACTATTGCTAATCAATAATGTGATTTCTCACTGTGAAGAAGAAACTATATTAAACAATATAAAACAAACAAAATGCTCACCTTAAAGTTTAGAAGAAGGAAACACACAAAAATGTATTGATGCCACTGATAAATGGAAGCAAGCAAGTTTATTTGCTGATGATTATATCAGCGGGTTAGAATTATATTATGTCAATAAATTAGAATTATATTTCTAAAGTACGTGGTGTGGTATTGTTATGGTCTATACATTTAACGAATTTTCCAATTACTTGAGTAGGGAACGACTAGCACATATGTGCGAGGGGAACCTTTACCTTTTTAATCAAGAACTTAGGGATCATTATGGTATATAGGAAGTTCCAAGCAAGGTGTTTTTCTGTAAAGTCAGTGCTACCAAATCTAACAAATTTAAAAACTTGGGGGGTGGGGAGCCGAACATGAACCCAATTCTTAGCATTTTTTAAAAAAAATCTCACCCACGTGCGACAATTGTGCTATCTTTCTTCTCCTTAATCCTTCCTTGTTTAGTCCTAAAGTACCATATTTCTCAGAGTATAAGAAGCACCTTTTCCCCCCAAAAAAGAGGGTGAAAATCTGGGTGTGTCTTATACTCCAAATGTGGCCCTGCCCAGCTTCTCAAACGGAGGTTTCAGAGGCTGAAGAAAGTATCAGAAATGAAACTTCAGAAAAGAAGCCCCCAAACAGAGCTTCAGAAAAGAAGCCTCCAAACAGAGCTTCAGAAAAAAAGCCTCCAAACAGAGCTTCAGAGGCTTTTTTTCTGAAGCTCTGTTTCGGAGGCTTTCAGAGACAGAAAAAAAAAAAGCAAAAAAAAAAAAAAAGCAAGCCAAAAAATCACAAACAAGGAACCTGTTGTTAAAATTCACCTCTGGGGACAGCTGATTGGGGGGTATTCTGGGAGGCCGATCCACCTGCCAATCAGCTTTTTGCTTTTTTTCCTCCCCAAAAACTGAGGTGCGTCTTATACTCCGGTGCGTCTTATACTCTGAAATATATGGTAACTCTCTTGGAGTTCTGTGAGGATATCTTTGAGAGCACAACTGCAGGGAAAGTTGAGTTGAAGCCAAAAATATTTGGTTGTTATGAACTGTCTTAAGAAGAGTCCAGGCTGCCTTATGTTTGTGAGCTTTCATGAAGCTGTTAGGACTAAATCATGCAGTGAAGTGAATCTGAGCAGTTTCCTGATTAAATGGTCATTGATGGGATGACACATCTGAGAAGATTACAAAGTGTCAACCAGTGCTGATTACCCAAATAGAAGGACACAGAATGAAAATGAAGTTTTCAGGTAGTCTAGTAGGCAAGAGAGGATGATAGAACCAGACGGGAGATTCTACCCATTTTGAAAAATATATTTTAAAATTCAAATAATAATTATAAAGAAGAAATCTTTTCACTGGATAAAAGGGTGAGTATAGTAACAGAAAGTATTCCCAATAAAAAGAGGAAAAAATGCTAACTGAATGTCAGGGAAGGGAAACATAAAAGAATTTCATCTGAATTAAGTTGCTAACATACAAATACCGTGCAGAGTTTTAACTTTTATTAAAATTATATATGAATGATAATGTCAATTCATTATAACAGCAAGAAGTATTATGAGAAAAATGTGCAGTCATAATATTTAAATAAACTGAAGCCAGATTAACTGCATTCTAGAGTACTGAAGGAACTATATTGTAGCCTGTCCAAATTTCTATATATTACATGTGTACCTGTCACACTTTCAGGTAAGCAATGTTATACAAAGTGCAAGGGAAAAATATGAAATAATGAGCAGGAAATAAGAAGTAAAGAAGCTAAAGTTTACATCTGTACTAGTTACTAACTTTCCTGTTCTTGCAAATAATTCTGGTTGACCCAGAATCATTGGGAGTCAGAACACATACAAATTTAATAAATAATAATAAAATAATATTTCCACCATGTCCAGATCTTTGCATCGTGTCCACCACATGATACATAATACATTGTTTCATCTATCTACCTATCTATTATCTTCAGATTGATGAGAATACATGTCCCCATTTTTAGAAAGAGGGAAAAGCAGAATCCACAGAGGTATTGTGCTGACCAAATAGCTATAGAAATATGGCAGGCAACAGAAGAAGAATCAGTAAAAACCAAACTATGCTAGTACATCTGGAGAACAACTTAATGGTCAATAGAATAGAAGAGGTTTGCCTGCATATCCATACCAAAGAAAGGAAATTTAACAAAATGTGCATATTATCATGCAGTATTTTATTTTTTATTTATTTGTAAATCATACTTACATGGCTGCCCACCTCACAGAACGTGAAATCCCCAGATATTATCAAACGAATGCATAGGATTTTCCAATGTGGATTAGAGCCCTACATTTGGGGGATACCAGATGTTCAAGTGGGCTTAGGAAAAGTCAGAAGGCCAAGAAATTGTTGGTAATAAACATTGAATAATGAAGATAGCCAAAGGAAATCCAAAAATAAATCAATATGTGCTTTGCAGATTATAGAAAGGCCTTTAATTTGGTTGACATATCAAGCTGTGCAATATCCTTAGCAAAATGGACATTCCAGAATGTAACTCTCTTGAGAAGTTCTTAATTGGTGCAAATCTGGTACAGGTTTCTCCTTGTAGCGTTGCATAATTCTTTTTAACCAACACCATTTGTCATGCCAGCGTTCTTGTTACCTTAGCATATTCCAAATACTGAGGAATAAAAGAAAGAAAGAAAAGAAAGGAAGGAAGAAAAGAAAGAAAGAAAGAAAGAAAGAAAGAAAGAAAGAAAGAAAGAAAGAAGCTTCTTTAACAAGCTGCATTTGTAACAATTCCATTAAAATCAACCCAAAAAATTAGGACTAAAACCAAACCATATGAAGTACTCCTGAATTATATTGCCAGCAGCAAGGTGGCTATAATGACATTTATCAAACATTTTGTCAAATGCCTAATATAAATGAAACATTTTCTGTTTGTATTAACTTTATTTTAAGGAAATAAATTATTTTTAGGAATGTAATTTCATGTTGTTTTAAGTGACCTTCCTTTAATATACCAGAACATATAATTTTAGCTCATTCTTTCAGAAGTCACATAAATAACCAAAATTAGTTTCACCAATGGCTTAAGATGAATAAATATATATATAAAAATCCTCCTATGAAATAAATAAAAATATATATTTTTTAAAAACCCTATAATTAAATAAATAATGCTGCATGAGACCCAGTTTACAAATTGGATGAGCGGGAATAGTCTAACATTAATTTCTAAGAAAATTTTAGAAGAAATTATAGACAGACCACTCTCTTTAAGCATCTCAAAAACAATGTTTACTTACTATAACCTAAAAACAGATTAATTTTATTTCATTTTTTCATTAGACAACTACCTTAATAAATTGAGGGAATTTATTGTAGGCATAGTATATCTTGATTTCAGCAAAGCATTTGACAAAGTTCCCTATAGGATTCTTTTTTTTTTTTTTAATTGCAAAAGTTTTACAATTACATTTTCACCCCTTTTTTCACCCCCCCACCTCCCTCCCCAAACTTCCCGTCCTCCCTAACCCTCCCTAACCCTCCCCCCCAGACTTCCCTATTATGTACTCATAACTAATAATACTGATATATATACCTGAACCCATCCCTCCCCCTATATAATTTTCCCTCTTTATCTCTTTACATTAAAATATTTCTAATACATTGTTTTCAAATAAAAACTATTTGGTACTTTCTAGTTTGATATTTGTTCTGAACATATTCTATCCACCTTTTCCATTCCCATTCATAAGTCTCTTGTGAACAATCTTTTAAATATGCTGAAATCTTCGCCATCTCTGCAAAACTGGCCATCTTCAAAGTCCATTCCTCGATAGTAGGCAAAGCTTCATTCTTCCAATATTTACCTATCAACAATCTTGCTGCTGTTATCATATACAATATTAATTTTATTTCACCCCGTGTAAAACCCTTAACTATACCCAATAAAAACAATTGTGGAGAAAATTGAATTTTTTTCTTCAAAACATTCTGCATGACCCACCATATTTTTATCCAAAAAGCCTTAACTTTCCTACAGGTCCACCAAACATGATAATACGTAGCATCCAAACATTCGCATCTCCAACATTTTGGCTGAACATTAGGGTACATACATGACAACTTTTTAGGATCTAAATGCCATCTATAAAACATTTTATAAAAATTTTCCCTCAGATTCTGCGACTGTGTAAATTTAACATTCTGAACCCAAATTTTTTCCCATGTTTCCAACATCACTGGTTCTTCAAAATTTTGTGCCCACTTAATCATACAATCTTTAACTAATTCCGTTTCTGAATCCCTTTCTAGCAAAACATTATAAAGCCTTTTAATATGCATTGGACCTTTCTCTCTTATATGTCTAACCAATTCTTCCTCATGCAACATAATACCAGTTTTTTGGTCCTCTTTCCATCTCAATTGTAATTGATTATATTGTAACCAGGTTAAATTAATCCCTTCGTCCAACAGTGTCTGCAATGTCTTCAGCTGCCATCTGCCCGCATCTGTAAAAAGAACCTCTTTGTATAAAAACCCCCCGAGTGACATTATATTTGTATTCCACAAGGTATGACCAAGATCCAGCCATAGCGGTATTTTATAATCCCATTTGAGTCGGTGCTTCTTCCAAACTCTCATCAAAGAGTCTCTAAGTATATGACTTTTAAATACTTTATCAACTTTGTCATCATAAAATAGGTAAGCATGCCATCCAAATTCAAGATCAAAACTTTCTGCATTCAATATTCCAGCCTTTTTACTTCCAAACCAATCACTTGTTAAAGTTAAAGCTGCTGCATCATAATATAACTGTAGGTTTGGAAGTTTAAGGCCTCCTCTTTCTGGAACATCTTGCATAATTTTCAATTTCACTCTCGGCTTTTTCTCGTTCCAGACAAACTTATTAAGTCCAGTTTGCCAAACTTTCAGTTGTTTATCACTTTTAAGCACCGGAATCATTTGAAACAAAAACAAAAATCTTGGCAAAATGTTCATCTTAACTGCTGCTATTCTTCCAAGTAAAGACAGTTGCAGCTTTTTCCAAGTCTCCATGTCTTTCTGAACCTCTCGCCACAACACCTCATAGTTATTTTGAAACAATTTCATGTTTGATTCTGCAACCTGAACTCCAAGATATTTTACCTTAGGTACAATTTCAAAACCTGCCCTCCTTTCAAACTCATGTTTACGATCTTGTGTCATATTTTTGACTATCATTTTAGTCTTTTTTGAATTCACTCTAAAACCTGAAACTCTACCATAGTCTTGTATAATGTCGTTCATCAGGATTGTTGATTCCATTGGTTGTGATAGGGTAACCACCAGATCATCTGCAAATGCCTTTATTCTATAATCCTCTTGCCTTATCATTATGCCTTTCAAAATTTTTGAGTCCCGTATTGTATTTAGCAAGACTTCCAATGTTAAAATAAATAAAAGTGGGGACAACGGACATCCCTGTCTTGTTCCTTTTTCAATTTTAAACTCTGTCGTCAAACTTCCATTAATAATAATCTGTGCTTTTTGCTCTTGATAAATTGCTGAGATCGCCTGTATAAATTGGTCCCCAAAGCCCATCTTTTTTAAAGTCTTTAGTAGAAAATTCCAATCCACTCTATCAAAGGCCTTCTCCGCATCCAAAAAAACCAGCACTGCAGAAATCTGTTTATTCTTGTCAAGATATTCCAATAAGTCTATTACTTGCCTTACATTGTCCTTCATATATCTGCCCTCAATAAATCCCGCTTGGTCCGCATGAATCACCTTTTGGATTACTGGCATCAACCTGTTGGCTAATACCTTCGCATAAATTTTATAGTCTGTGTTCAAAAGAGATATTGGTCTATAGTTCTCTGGTTTTTTAGGACCAACTTGTTCTTTTGGTATCAAAGATATATAAGCAGTTGTCCAAGATGGGGGTATTTTGCCCCCTTGTTGAATATTGCAAAATAAATCTCTAAGTTGTCCCACCATTTCAGCTTGTAAAGTTTTATAATACACTGCGGTCAAACCATCCGTGCCAGGAGCTTTGGCTGTTTTTAGCTGTTTAATTGCTGCTGTTATCTCCTCCTCTGTTATAGGATAATTCATTCTTTCCTTTTGTTGATCAGTGATTTTTGTAACTCTCTTATCCTTTAAATATTTTTCTATAAATCCATTCTGCACCTCTTCTTTGGCATATAGTTTAGTATAATAATCCACAAAAGCTTCTTTAATTAGTTTTTGTTGAAAGATTTCTTTCCCTCCAATATCAATACTATCAATAGTCCGTATACTTTGTTTTTTCCTCAATGTGTAAGCCAACCATCTGCCCGGTTTGTTAGCGTTGCAAAATGTATTATGCTTCGCGTATTGTAAACTTGTTGCAACTTGTTCCGCCATAAGCATTTGAAATTGGTCTTTCAAAAGTTTTATAGCACTTCGTATTCTTTCATCTGTTGGGTTTTTAATAAGTAACTGTTCTTTATTCTTTATTTCCATTTCCAACTCAAATCTTTTCTTTTGTCGGAACAGTCTATGTTTAGAATTCATGTAGATGAGTACCCCTCTCATATAAGCTTTACTTGCATCCCAAACAATTTCAATTGGGGTACCTTTATTCAAATTTATTTCAAAAAATTCTTTCAAATGCTTTTTAAGTTCTATTGTATTTTTTTCATATCTAAACAAGTTCTCATTTAATCTCCAAGAACGTCTCTCAACCTTATCCATCTCAATTTCTATCCATACAGGGCTATGGTCAGTCAGAGTTCTTGGAAAAATCTTTGTTCTTTTTGTCTTAACAAGTAGATCATTTGACAACAGGATAAAATCAATCCTAGAAAAAGATCTATGTCTATCCGAAAAAAAAGTGTAGTCCAATTCATTTGGATTATGTATTCTCCAAACATCTTTTAATTCCATATCTTCTTTCATATCAAAAAAAGTCTGTGGTAGTCTAATTCTAGACTTTGCCAAGCTCTTTTTATCTAGTTTAGAATCAATTACTCCATTCCAGTCTCCCATAATTAAAATAGATCTATAGTCCCATTGCAATATTTTAGTATGTAACATCTTATAAAAATAATCCTGTTGTTGGTTGGGAGCATAAATTCCAATCAAAAGAATTTGACCATTTGCTGTGAGCAATTCAATTGCTACAAACCTACCATCTTGATCTGCTTCTATAACTTTCGCTGTTAATTTTTTATTTACATAAATAACCACACCATTCTTTTTCTGCGAAGTTGAAGATATATAATGTGCTCCTAGTTTTGAGTTTATCAAATATTTTTGATCTTGAGTTGTGATATGCGTTTCTTGTAAACATATGATATCATTATTAAATTGTTTCAAATATGTAAATAATTTCTTCCTTTTCTGTGCTGAATTCAACCCATTGACATTCCAAGATAAACACTTAAAGGTCATCAGCCTCTTTCTGGAGCACAGAGCAAAATATTTGAAGTTCATCCGAGAGCTTCGATCTCGCTCCTCCCATAGCTCCACTCTCTTGTACGGTACTCTTAACTGCCTTCTTGTCTTGTCTTTCCTGTTGTTGTTGTTGCTTTTGTTTAAGTAGCTTGGATTGGGCTCTAGTTATACGTTGATCTTTAACTTCTGTCAACTGAATCAAATCCAAAATTGGAGAAGAATCCAACAAGGGCTCACTCAGAAAACCTCCTTCTGCACCTTGCACGTTTTCTAATTCCTGCTTAGACTGTTCTTTCAATTGCCTCTCTTCACTCTCCTTAATCTCCAAAACTGTAGATGTACGTGGAGATGGTGTTCTTTCCTTAAGAATAGTACTGTAAAAGTGTTGTGCCTTCTCCACGGTATTCAACCGATATCCTTCTCCCTTATATCTAAAAATTATCCCAGCTGGTGCGTCCCACCGGAAGGGTATCTGTAAATTTCTCAGTTCCTTAACAAGAAAACTAAATTCTTTTCTAGCTTTCAGCATTTTAGGAGGTAATTCTTTAAAAATTTCAAGTCGTGAGCCCCCCACTTGTACAGAAGTGTGAAAAGATTTTTGCAGGATATCATTTCTAATTTCTCTCTCAGTAAAGTATATGACCACATCTCTAGGCAATTGTCTTTGTCTGGCCACCCAAGAGTTCACTCTGTAAATTTTATCTATTTTATGAAATACCAAATCAGGATTAGCTTGTAAAATCTTAGCCAAGGCTTCAGAGCAAACCTGTCTCAAATCCTGTCTCTCCTCCTCTCGAATTCCCCGAAGCCGTATGGCAAATTCCATCGCCCAGAATTGTATCATAACAATCTCATCTTCAATTCTCTGCATTTTATTGTCAACTTCATCAATTTTATAATCATTGTCTTTCATCTTAACATTAACTTCTGATTTGAATTCTTCAACTTTAAAATCAACTTTCCCAATAAATTCTGCCAGGCCAGACGCCACTTCTGATATTTTTTTGGTCACCTTATTTTGATTCTGTTTCACCATGTCTTTAACTTCATTAATTTCCTGCATAAATTCCTGATGTGATTTTTGAAGTTTATCATCTATCTCCTGTTGACATTTTTGAAATTTGTCATCCAGAGTTTTAGAAATAAATTCTTTTAAATCTCCCACATCAAATTCTTTTTTCTGAGCTTGTAGCTGTTGAGCAGGGGGAAGTTGCGTTTGATGTTTGTGTGTGGGGGATCCCCCCCCTAATGCCTTCCCTTCCTGCTTCTTTGAAGCCATCCTAGCTCGTGATCTAGTTTTTCTAAAGAGGGAAGTTCCTTTTCCTTTCCCTCCTGCACAAAGACTTCTAAAAAAGTCCCCCAGATTTGATCAGACAAGAGTTAAAATAAAGCAAAGTCCAATATTGAAAAGGGAAAAAATTTCCCAGTTATTTCTCTTATAACAAGCAAGGCAGCTTAGTAGCAACTTGGAAACTTTGTAGCAAAACAAAATAACTTCACCAATCCACACTCGCTGGCTCGTTAACTCTGAAGCTAGGCGCCATGTTTTTTCAAAGCACTTTCACTCATTCGCATTTTCTCAGATTGAAAAGTCAACAAAGTGCTAATACTTGCGTTTCCAAATTTCAGGATTCAGGTAGTTTCGCTGTTTATTAAAGCTGGTTCTTTCGCTTTAAGTTTCCTGCAGCCGGCTTGTTCTGCAAAAGCAGAATCGTCCCACGTCGCCCGGAGTTCCAGCAGGTTGGGAGGGAGCCACGCCTGTTCTCTCCCCAGAAACTTCCCTGGGGGGTTACAGGGGCTCAACCTGTGCCCTGCGATCTCTCCTTCTTCAATCCTGTGGATTTAGAAGTTTTCGAGCCGCTTCTTCGTCTCGAAGCGGCTCTACAGGCGGCGGGGCTGGCGGAGCTTCAAAGAGCGCTGCCGTCGCCGAAGACCTTCCCTATAGGATTCTGATAAACAACCTAGTGAAATGTAATATGGATGGCATGACAACTTTAAAAACTGGGCATCAATGATTGGAAGAGAGGCATTGAGTTGGATGCCACAAAGTTCAGTTCTGGATTGGATGCTTCCAAAATCCAATCCCATCAAATGTTCTGGAAAGACTTACTGAAAGCCACCAAGAGATCTAGTGAAAGTAGCAGAATCATTCTCTTCCATCCAGTTTCCAACATACCAACAACACAACCAAAGATTTTCAGTCAACAATTCCAGCTGAAAGCCTGATTGAAACGATATACATTTGATTTCATTCTGGAACACTGAGATTATCATCTTCCTAGTTATGTTTCCCTATGATTATACAAAAGTGCACTTTAGGTGTATGTGAATGATCCTGAGCATAAGAATGTAATCTGAGCAATGAAGCAGGTTTTATAACTAGTATATCACAAAAAAAGAGATATATTTACTGTAAATACATGAAAGTGATAGGCAAAACTAGTGTTACCCTACTAAGAGAAAAGTTAGCAACTTTTTCATGCTGGCTGGGGAATTCTGGAAGTTGAAGTCCACCCATCTTAAAGTTGCAAAGTTTGAGAAACACTGAGTTAAAAGTATATGTTTTGTGTCTGCTTGGGAAGAAAAAGGCAGAAGGAGTTAATCTTAGTTTACCAATCTTATAGGCAGAGGAGTCAAAGTGGCAGACAGAGGGGTCATAGAGTAAATCCTTAATTCTTTAACTATATCCTACTGTCCCCTTGTGGTTAATAGATGCTGAAATGCCAAATCATTGGACTGGACTGTGGAAAATGTCCAGAATCAAGACTTTCTTCAGTAAAAATCTTATTACTTACACCATGAGTATTACTGTGCTGCCCTGGTTACCCAAATGCAGAATCAACTGAAAATGGGCATACCACTAGATGGAGGATTTCATCAACAAGATGGTATTTCTGAAGATCAGGAATGTTCTACCTCCCACATCTGTTTCCAGCTTGATGGCAGACAAAATGACAGTGATGAATTCCATCTCTCTTCTGTCAGTTAGATCTCCAGGATACAAGCTCCAACACTTTCGGAATCAAGTTGTCAGGATTCCAAATAACACCCCCAACGAAAGAAGATTCCGAGGCTTGAAGTTCCTCAAAGTTCCATTTTATTAAAGATGTCATATTGGCAAATCTGGGAAAACCCGAATCTGAAAGTTTCCAGGTTTTCCCCACCCAAAAGAAAATCCAAGTCCCTGCCCAGCACCCACATGTCCATCACATGGTTCAATCAAAACACCATCCCAACTGGAGATGTTTCCCAGTTCCAGCACTCCAGGTGCAGGGCAAGATGTCCTTGACTCTCTGAGAAAGGAATGTTATTATGACTATATATCACCATGCTCCATACAATCCCCCCTCTCAGTTTCCCACAGTAGTAAAGGTGGCAGACCTGAAGGCCCAATGCAAAAGATGGCTTCCAGGCCTGACACAAGCAACATAACATGAAAGAGTAAAGTTTTCTTCACTCTCACCTTACCTTCTTCAGTTATGCTGCAAAACAAAACAAAAGGAGAAGACGCCAACCTCTATTCAGCCCCAGAAATGGGGGTTGTAACAGTCCCTCATCCTATTTGTCTTATTTCAGAGTTTCCTCTCAAGCAATTTTCCTTATCCTGCTGTCCCACCTTTTCCATAAGTAACAAGCAGATATGCAGAAGCTTGGCATCCATATGATAACCTAAGGCTAAATCACATATTTTTCCTGACTTTTCAGTGTGCTTCACTGGCTTGATAGAGAGAAACAAACCACCGCCATCTGTACCACTGTGAACTCCCAGCTGAACCAGAATGAGCCAAATTTCAGGTAATTCTTTCCTTCTCTCTGGCTTCATAACATTTACTAAGCCTGTCCTGGCTGATTGTTAGTCCAGACTTATCCTGGCCACTGCTCCAGGATATGCATCACTTTATTGCAGATAAATCAAAGATGACACTGGGAAGTAATCAGTAGCATGATATGGCCAAGCTCCCTACTTTGGCATCTTCATCCCTTGGGGGAAAAAAAGCAATAAATTCTTTAATGTCTTTCTGAAACAGAATGGAAGGATTTTCTGAAATCTTTCCGTCTTACTTTGCTCCATTTCATCCCATTGCATATGAATATGTCAAAACCCAGGGTGTGAAAAGTTTGGCAGAGCAATAGTAATAATGCTGCCTGTTTTTTTCTGAAAAAAAAACTTCAGTGTTCTGCTACCTATATGAGATTGGACTTCTATGAAATCTACAATTCCAACTAGGATAATGAAACTAAAGACAGTAGAAAAATATATATGACTTAATGGCCTTCAGATGTTGCCAGAGAAATTATTCATAAGTGGGCTGGACTATTCATAGTTGGGGACTGTGAAAAATTGTTTTGAGGATGATAGAGAAGGAGGAGTATCTTGAGAGAGAAATAATCAGCAGATGGAAGAGGCCATTTATCAGTTAAATGGATTCTTAGGCCTGGTGGAAACAGCCTGGGAAAAAGAAATCCAATAGATTCAAAGAAATCACACTTTAATAAAGGAGGGTTTGTTTCTCAATTCATAAAGTTCTGAACTTTAATTCTTGGCACTGAATTTATTTTAAAAGCGAACGAGGTCCTCTGATTGTTTGGAGCATTCACATGAATGCAAGTGGAGTTTCCAGTCAGATGCTGGTTTTTGAAAGAAGACCAGGCTCAGGGATAATAGTAGGATTGGGCTTCATGGATATGTTGGAAGGAAGGCCAATGACCTATTGTTTCTGAATGCTCAGATAGGGTTTCTGAATCACAGTAATTGTTACAAAAATATTGAAGGAGAAGGAGAAGGAGAAGGAGACAAAGAAGGCGAAGGCGAAGGCAAAGGCAAAGGCAAAGGCGAAGAAGAAGAAGAAGAAGAAGAAGAAGAAGAAGAAGAAGAAGAAGAAGAAGAAGAAGAAGAAGAAGAAGAAGAAGAAGAGAAGAAGAAGAAGAAGAGGAGGAGGAGAGGAGGAGGAGGAGGGAGGAGGAGGAGGAGGAGGAGGAGGAGGAGGAGGAGGAGGAGGAGGAGGAGGAGGAGGAGAAAAAGAAAAGAAGATGAAAAGATGCAATTTATAGAATGCACAGTGAATACTGCAAGCACAAAATGGTTTAGTTTAAGGATGAGTAAACATACAGATGGAAGATATGCTGTATATTAGTCCAGTTTTGCTGCCCTGAGTCTAAGCTTCAGCCCTATGAATGAGAAAAACAAATTAGTCAGGGTACAGATTTTGGCAAACATTTTGTGGTAGGGTAGGTTAATAAGTTTGCCTTGAAACATGAAACCCCCCTCCCCCCTCCAGTTTGTATAGTTTTGGAGAGGAAATGGTTTTGAGAATGAGATTGATGGTACAAAGAAAGAAGCAAGGCTGCATGTTAGGAAACAAAGCAGAAAGATTAATAATAGATGGTGGTTAAAACTAAAACAGGAGTTTGGAATAGATGTTTCATGTTCTCAGCTAAAGTCACCTCTGTTTGCATTTTCTATTCTGATGTTTCTTTCAGCAGAAAAGAAGACATGGTTAAGTAAGTAAAAGTCCCTTTCATTACAGTTATTGACATGGCAGCTGAAAAATAGCTTTACACTCATTTACTTTTCAAAACAAAACAAAACATCAGGCTCAAGGGAGGTCCCTAAAGTCCAGGTGGCGGCAGCAACCCTGTGATCAAACTCTACCCTTTTCTGACATAGATGCACATTTTAAAAGGTTGAGCTTCAATTGCAGGGGTGAAGCATACATCTCGACTTCTCCCCCCTCCCCCAAATCCCTTGCAAAACACTACTGGCTGCAACATAACTTTCATTGGGAAAAAAAATTAAAATGTTATGTGTGAAAAAATTCTTAGTCTGTTCTTGTCTCTGATTTCCATGTTACTGCTATGGTAGTAGCTCTTTAAAGCTGCTAAACTTCTTTACACACACACACACACACAGAGAGAGAGAGAGAGAGAGAGAGAGATTGCCATCTCTGAGATAAGATGTTAAGAAATTAGCATCTGAACACAAGCTTTATAGGCTTATTCAGGAAGACAGAAGTTCCTTCTCTCTAAGCCTAAAGACTCAATCAATCCTATTATGAGCAGGTCCAGGTCTCTGGTCAAAGTTTGAAAGGATGCCTTGCTTTTCCAAAGATGCAAGATCCAAGGCTTACGCTCCCTTGATATTGCATTGCAAAGCAACATTCCCACCTCTGAGAACAAAGTGCAACAGTTACATATAAATGATTGTATGACTTAATCCCTTCCTTGCTTCCTCCAGCACTTCAAAAACCAAACTCTCCAGCCTTCGGCAAAATGACAGCATCTGTAACAGATGTTAGTGCAGATGCATTGCCTGTCTAGAACTTCCTCTGGCTTCTGCAAGAGATGGAGGTGGCTAAAAAAAGAGATCAGTCTATGAGGAAGCTGCAGAGCAGGAGGAAGGCAATTTGTGTCACCTCTTCATTTTGATTAAGAGAATGGGGTTGACTTTGTGATAAGAAGCTCTTCTTTAAAGTAACTCCAAGTTGCTTCACTCAGGCCCATCACTCGTATACTCTGGTCTAATATCTCCTTTTGAGTTAAATCTTTCTCCTATTTGCCGCTATATACATGATGGAAACAAACCTTTAAGGTTCTCCAAAGGGTGGGAACAAACCCACAGAGTTGTACAGTACTAGTCTGTACTGTACAATTCTGGATTCATCCTCATTATTCTTGAAATCTACACTGGTAGGAGGAAGAGGTGGTTTGTCTGAATTCTCCATTCACAATTGACCCATTGATTGAGTTACAGTTTGGCTTTTAATTACCCCTTTAAAATATATTTTAATCTATATGTTTGAATATCTATGTATTTATACATCTATGCAGGGGTGAAATCCAGCAGGTTCTGACAGGTTCTGGAGAACCAGTAGCGAAAATTTTGAGCAGTTTGGAGTACTGGCAAATACCACCTCTGGCTGGCCCCAGAGTGGGGTGGGAATGGAGATTTTGCAGTATCCTTCTCCAGGAGTGGGGTGGGAATAGAGATTTTGAAGTATCCTTCCCCTGCCACACCCACCAAGCCGTGCCACGCCCACCAAGACACGTCCACAGAACTGGTAGTAAAAAAATTTGAATTTCACCACTGCATTCACCACAGACACACTCACTTTATAAATAATGCTCCATTTAAAACACTATTGCTGCTGATTGTATTATGTTGATTTCATCCCCCCCCACCAACAAAGTGGATTTTTAAGCAAGTAGATTGAATTCAGTGCATCCTGAAATACACTACCATCGTATCACTATAATCAGCAAGAACCTTGCCAATAGATTCAATTTAAATATTATCAGCAATCAGTGAGGTCCACACACATAGGGAAACCCTGCATCTTGGCTACCTCCTGTCGGTCTGATGACAGTGATGTAAACTCTAATAGAAGAGAATGACCTGATGAAATGTGCAAAGTGACAGCATTTCAAAGTAAAATGCAAAAAGACTGGCTACTAGATGTGGTTGAAGAATGAAGTTTTGCTTCCTCTCATAAGCTCAGGCATGAAAAGAGCACATGGCTCTCTACTTGAAGAACCATGAATGAAGAAGCTGGAAGCAAAGCACTGGAAAAGATACAAACTCTACATAAAGAAATGAAAAGAACAAATCAGGATTTTTTTTTTCTTTTCTTTTAAAGCTCTGGCACATTCTCTTTTCTTTCCATATTTGCCTGAAGAATGCAATGCAATTGTGAGAGGGACTGACCAGGAGCAAACGTGACTTGACTTTGCAATGCCCGCTTATGTGCTGAAAAGCTAATGGTTTAGAGTGGTAAAGATCAGCATGCAGTAGAAAAGCATCAGTCTGCACTACTAAGTCCAAAGGCGAGGTAAATGTCAAAGTTTCCTGTGGCAGAAAATACACAGCATGTGAGATTTGGCCTGTGCATCCTCCACCTCTGGTTTTAATTCCAGCCTCTCAAAAGCTGGTTGGAGAGATTTCAAATAATTATCCAGTTTACTTTGGCTTCCTTTCTGGGACTGAACATTCTTACATTCTCTGAAGTGGTTGT